TTTCTTTTTATTGCATCTAGTCCACTGAGAAAAATCCTTGCCACTTTGGCTATGGAAGAAAACTTACCAGGAGGGAAGACTACAGAGGATGACACTTGACTCTCTCTTCTGCCTAAGAGAGTCATTGGTTGCCTTCAAGGGAACCAGTGCTGCCTTGAAGTTTAGGAGAATCCAACGTGCTCTCTGGCCCAGGAGGAAGTGGTTGATGGAAACAAACAATTACAGCTTTGCATGCCAGAGAGGCTGCTGAAGTGCCCACACTAAAGAGAAATACGTGATCACAAATGTGGCATTTTAAGTGTTACCAATCTGAGGTAGAGCTCAGATTTGGAGAAAGTTGTCCTGGGTTTTAGTAAAATGTAATTAAAGACTTGAGGAGCAGCTGTCACTTACTTCTTATCCATCCACTATTCACTCATATTTCTGCTAAAAGAATAGCTCCTTTGTCTGGGCAGTCTGACTTCAGCTGAAAGCACCAGGGTGAGTCACGATTTACCTAAGAGTGGGCATGTGACCCAGTTCTCAACAGTAACGTGCAAAAGAAAGACAACTAGGGACAGAGGTCTTCTGGAAAAGATGAACCTATTGATGAAAAAGAGAAAATAGCTTATTTTCTATCTTTTACTCCCTTCCTTTGAAAGCGATAGGTGAAGATGTGATGCTTGGAGTATGGCAGCCATCTTTCGATCATAAGGAGAATGAAAATCACCATGCCAATGATGGCAGAGCAAAGAGCAGAAGAGCTTAGATCCTTATGATACCACTGAGCCATGGCACTAAGCCTGGGACTACTCGCTCCAGACACCTTGTTCCAAACTTAATGAGATGTTCTTAATAAAGCTGCTTCTGTTTGTGGTTTCTGCTACTTACAGCCCAAAGACACAAAAATGTAACACCCATCACAACTCTGTTCAACACCTACTCAGTAATTACATGTTAAACAACAGATACTCCAGACATTCGTGCTAGGCCTTTGGGATTTAGTGGCAAAAAGGAAAGTCACTATCCTGAAGGAGTTTACGGTTTCTTGGGAGAAACAGACAAGTGAGCATCTGCCTAAGTAGAAAGGATCTAGAACTCAGAGTGAATGGGATAACAGCTTCCTGAAGGAAGTGGCATCTGTGCCGACATCACAAAGATGAGTGGAAGTTAACCAGGTGGAAGGAATGGGGGATAGAGGTGGGTGGTGGGCACATGTTAGGCCAGAGAACAGAAGGACAGAATGTGAAAAGATTCAAGAGAGGTGAGAAATATAGCCTGTGTGGGGTATCAAGAGAAATCAATGACTTCAGAAGAGAGGCAGAGACGGGATGCACAGAGCAATGATGATGGAGATGTAAACAGGGGTGCGCCTGGCCTTGAAGAGACTTATAAGTCAAACTGGTTGGTCCATTCTTTGAGTGGATTGCATGTGTGCCCGTGCATGTGCATGTGTATGTGTACGTGTGTGGGTTCATTTGTTTTGTTTTGTTTTGTTTTTGCTTAGTATGTGGCTAAAGAGTTCTCCTTACTAGCTAGACCTGAGACCTTTCTACTAATGAACATTCTTTCCATTTAACATAAAGTCTTCTTTGTTTTTCATGTTTACTTGCTTATTTTGAGAGAGAGAGAGAGGAAGAGAGTGCAGGGAGAGGCGGAGGGAGAGAGAGAGAGAGAGAGAGAGAGAAAATACCAAGCAAACTCTGCACTGTCAGTGCAGAGTCCGTTGTGGGGTTCGAACTCATGAACGGTGAGATCATGACCTGAGCCAAAACCCAGTATTGGATGCTTAACCGACTGAGCCACCCAGGCGCCCCCAACATAAAGTCTTCTAATAATTACAACTGTTCACAAATGGCCCACAGTTCATGAGCTTCCAAGCCCTAGCAGTGTGCATGCTGACATTTGGCCTGCTCACCATACAGATAATTGAGTCACCAGGTCAAAGTTTGTATTAGATGCTCTTGAGGTTTTGTAAGTACTGAGCTGTTGCTTCAGCCACCAGAGGACATGCTCTGCAGAGAAAATAATCACATCTGCCTTAAACCCTAACTCCCAGAAGATCTGCAACTGATAAAGGTCAAAGGATCCACTGTCAGATGTCCATAAGCCAGAGCAAGCCAGTCACACTCCTGTGGCTTAGCCAGCCCCTTGCAGGCCCACGTGTGGAAGAGTCACCAGTTGAGTTTATGTGTGTAGCAGGGAAGTGGGGCAAGGGTGAAAGGATCTCTGGTGCGAGAAGCCACATCAGCATTAGTAGGAATGACTTCCTCCAGGCTGCACAGCCATAGTGCTCAGGAGGTGATAACTTACGTTGGGACATTGGGACGTTAGGACTCTCAGATCCTTTCTATCTGAAGGCAGCAGATTCTTGATCCCCTGTGGCTGGAAGGAAAACACAGTTCATCCTGTGAACCCCGAAGGCAAACTCTTTACTAATGACAAGGAGTTGTCACCACCATATGCCATAAGGTAAGGCTTCCAGAGACAGGAGGGGAGGGAGGAGCAGGATGAGGAAATGCAAAAGGAAAGGGAGGGAAAGGCTCACCTCGCACACAGTCCTGAAGAAATGATTCCCCTCAGAGGCCTAGTCTTAGACCTTACAAGGACTTACTGTTCAGAGTAAAGCCAGAGGAATTATAGAACTAAGAGAGTATCTCATTTCCTCCCACAGTCCCTGACTCAGAACGCAATTTGGTTAACTGTTCAACTCTTGGTTTTGGCTCAGGTCATGGTCTCTCGGTTCATGAGTTCAATCCCTACATCAGGCTCTGTGCTGACAGCCTGGAGACTGGGATTCTCTTTTTTTTCCCTCTCTCTCTGCCCCTTCCCACTCATTCTCTTCTTCTCTCTCTCTCTCAAAATAAATAACCTTAAAAAAAACCCCACAAAACTTCAATTTTAAAGATATTATTCAAAGTCAGCAATATATTTCAAGTATCAACTAAAATTTGCATTTACTATACAAAAATATTTCAGCTCACAACATGTACCTTGCTTTATTCTTTTTGAAGAGCCTTGGAAGAAAAAAACTAGATAACCAAGTTGAAGCCAGTGGATGGAAATCTGATCGAGCTAAGGAATTAGATTTTATGTGGTTGGCAAAAAAGCATCCCTTAGAGGTGTACAATGACTCACCGACCTGTTCAGCTCCATTCCATTCTGCCCACACATGTGAAAAGCTGCCGTATGCAATGCACTGTTCTAGGCCCTAAAATGAGAATCTAGAGCTGAATGAGCCTCAAACCCTGCCCTTGAGCTCAGACTACTGGAGTCATGTTCCAGAATCTAAATCTGTATTTTCTGCTTTCCTCCAGCTGCTCTTGTGACCCATGTCACAAAAGGGCTTTGACAAGCTCATCTTTCATCCACAAGCTCAGTTCCAACTAGTCATTGATATGTTAACCATTCACTGCTCAGCTAGATCCTTTGAGGTGTCTTCCTCCTGTAGAAACTGGATGATTCAGAATCTGTTGCCAGAAGTTATAATGTTTGAAAGTCACTGATTGTTAGAATATCTGAACTTACAGTAGAAAACAAGGCAGCTCAAGGATTTCTGATTAGAGAATGTGAAGCAAGGGGGAAAAGGTATTCCACCTCCCCCACTTACAACTGACTCCTGATTCATGAGGTTCTCATTTCTGCTCTTGTTCCAGGCCTGGCTCCCCATTCAGCTGCCCTCTGTAGGGGACCGAGACACAAGTTAGCTAGCTGGGCCAGCTCTTCCATGGCCCTCATGGGGGTCAAGTATGAGAGCCGGCATCAAACCTTAGGATCTTCTTGGTTTTGATTATAAAATTAGTTGGGGCGCCTGGGTGGCTCAGTCGGTTGAGCGTCCGACTTT